GGGGACTCGGGCACACCGCTGCTCTCCTTCAAGCACACCCTCCTGGCGCCCCAAGGTCCGTTTGCTGTCGACTACGTCCTCGGTATCGCCTCCTCTCTGTCGTACTGCACCGTCCGGGACTCTGACGGCCACCTCTTGCCAGACTTGTTCGCCGACGTGAGGCAGCATATAGACTGGATCGAGCGCACAGTGTGGCCTAGCCAAGCTGTCTGATTCTTTATAAGCGTATGATGAATAAACTAAAGACCCCGCTAAACACAGTAACTCTCGCCCTTCTGTTTTCTTCTAGTTAGATCAGACGTCGACAATTGTCAGTACCAAAACTCAGTGATATAAATGTGATTCAGATCAGTAATGATTAGCATCTTTAGCAGCATTACGTCACCGAGGGGACGAAAATAGCCTATTGATCAAAGAATCGCACTGTTTATGAATGGACTGAATGTAATAAACTCGTTTCAAGTCGAGGAGCAGCAACCGTCCACTACAACAGCAGGAGGTTGACTCCACCGAGTGACGCACGGAACGAGTCCGGCCGTGGCGGGCGGGCAGGGGAGCCCCCGGCGGGCCCCAGCCCCAGCCGCTCCGGCCGGGTCCGAGGTGTTTACCTCGGGCCGGGTCAGTCCGCCGGCTCAAGACGATGCGGCTGTTCCTGCTGCCGGTCGTCGCGGTGCTCGCGGCCGCGGCCGGCCCTCCCTCGTGCGGCCCCGGGGAGCAGTGCGTGCCGCTGCCGCGCTGCCCGAGCGTCCTGCAGAGCATGCGGCTCGACCAGCGGTACCGCCCCGGGCTCTGCGGCTTCCAGGACAGCACCACCAGGGTCCCGGACGTGTGCTGCCCAGGCGGCGGCGCCCCTCAGGAGGACGCCTGCCCGGCGCCGTCGCCGCCGCTGGCGCCCACTCCCGACATGGCGTGCGAGAAGTTCGTCAACAGCCTGACGGATGAGGAGGACTCGCGGCCGGGGAACCTGGCGAGGAGGAGTAAGTTGTCTAAAACCGTTATTACTGGTAGGGGTTGCGTCATCCCGACAAGTCTAACGATGCGATCTGCTTTAAGTGTGCAGGAAGCACCAGGAGGACCTCTGCGCACTTCCTAAAAAGCAACCTGGCGTGGCATGTCCGGCAAGCGCCGAGCCAGCCGACATCCTGGAATTCCCACACATGGTGAGAATAGTGTATTTCGGATTACAGAGGAAGAGGAAGAACAGGTAGAACATGAAGATTCCTGATTGGTCGAGCCTCTACCCCCTCTAAAGGCGTGACGTAGAGGCAGAAATCTCACAACCATTCGGGAACGTTTGTGTTCTACCCGCTCTTCGTTCTTCCTCCGTTAGCCGAAATGCGCTATATAATGCTCGCAATTCGAGCACCCGCCCCCGTCCCTCAATCTTTTTGAACCAATATGCCTTCTGGCGACAGGCCTTGTT